GAGCAGCAAAAGCCAAAATGTAATGGTTCAATAGTCAATACAACAGAATCATAAATTTTGCATCTTTTGCCAATGTAGTCTACTCCAACTGCTAAAATGTGTCAACTTTGAAAATTGGGTTCAGAAGCTGTCTGCACTCTGCACCTATTTTTTGGCTCCCCCTAAACCAAATAAAACTTGCAAATGCTAAAAAAAAGTCCTAATAATACTCCTTCCGTCCCGAATTGAATTGCAAACTTTGACCGACACAAGGATTAAGAAATGACAATAAATGATGCTTGTTTTTTACACTTTTGCCATCTTTCTAAAAATAGATGCCTTTAAGTTAATTGGGAAAAGTAAAAGTAAGGGTGAATTTGTCACTTTATTCTTATTTACATACCAAAAATAGAAAGTGGAAAACTATTTTGAGACAACCGAAAAAGGAAATTTTGCAAATCAAATTGGGGCGGAGGGAGAGTTTATTACCCCTACCTATTGCACAAGATTGCAGTGAGCAAAATCAGGGGGGGTCAATTACAATTCTCACACAAATCATTTTCATTTTCATTTACCCCAGTGCCGCAAAGGCTCCCACCTACGGTGGGGTAAGGGGGGTCGGATATACGCAGTCTTACCCCTGCACTAAAGCACAAAGAGACTGTTTTCAGATGACCCATAGTGAAAATCCCGTCCAAAATTGCATGGACTGACTGCTGCTTCATAACAAAGAAGCGCAGACAATTTAGTGAGCCATTTTGCTTTATTCCATCATAATTTCAAGCCAAAAAATAATGAATCTTTGGCTCCATTGCAAATGATGGAAAAACAATTCTCACACAAATATTAATTCAAAACGGGTCAAATGCATAAATGGTACCTTAACTATTGCTAATGTTGAATTTTGGTACCTTAACTCTTAAATGAATCATAATGGTACCTTAATTATACATAAATGTTTCGAATTGAGATTTTATTCAAATTTCTCGCAAAAAAATCACGTGGCTGCCAAAATTCTATGCATAAAGTCTACTTCACCTTGTTTTTGTCCATATGATCATCATGAATAATTTTTTGGTCAAAATTTTGAAAAAAATCTCAATTCGAAATATTTATTTATAGTTAAGGTACCGTTTTGATTCATTTAAGAGTTAAGGTACCAAAATGCAACATTACCAATAGTTAAGGTAGCAATTAGATCATTCAAAACATAAAACAAAAATGTGTTTGTGGGTGGGGGCACCGAAGATGGTATTGGAGGGATTCACTGCGGCCTGGTTTGGGCAGATTCACCGATAAGACGTTGGATTTTGGTGAAGGCAACCCAAGAAGGAGTCGTACGGTTGCCTAAATCGTTGGCGATGATCTCAACACGCTCGTGTTATGGGCGCCAAACTCCAACACAAGAGTATGTGGTTCCGAGATCGATTCCAATCGCTGGACCTTCTTCTTCAGTTGTTCGTTTACTGTTGTCTTCCATTTTCTTCGACTTCTCTTTTCTCTTAGTGGACATAACTTGTAATGCTGATCGGAGATTAGAGAGCTGAAAATGCAGTGGCCATTTCTAGTACTATGAAAAACTGAAAAATTGAAAAACTGTTAGATCATACTATGAAAAATTGAAAGCCCATTTCTAGTACGGAAGCCTGTAGGGACCAGGATCAGGGCAGTTCAACCATTTTTCTCAGCTCTCACGACCGTTCATTTGTCAACCACTTTTGAAACGTGGAATTGTAATTGACAGCTTGATGTCTATTAACATAGTTTAAATTTGGTTTAGGGGAAGCCAAAAAATAGGTATTTACAAAATTTCCTTTTTTTGTACCAAAATGATTTTCCACTTTATATTTTAGGTATGTAAATAAGAATAAAGTGACATATTTACTTTTACTTTTACTTTTTCCCCATTAACTTAAAGGAATCTACTTTTAGAAAGATGAGCAAAAGTGTAAAAAGCAAGAATCATTTATTGTCATTTCTTAATCATTGTGCCGGTCAAAGCAAACAATTCAATTTGGGACAGAGGGAGTATATAGAAATTACTCCAAATGGGACTAAAAATATGACAAAAGCTCAAAATAGGACTTGCTGTGTATTTTTTCAAAATAGGACCATATTAGTCCTATTGGAAACATACCTATTTTTTCATTCCATTTTTACCCTTCCTTTAAATATGAGTTAAAAATAGTCAAAAGCCATAATTAAATATTTAATTCATAATAAATTCGAAAAAATCAAAAATTCGTAGTAAAATAATTAAAAAATTTATAAAATATTTATGAAATAAAAAATTCATTTTTTATCAATATTTAAAAAAATTAATAAAAAATCGTAAAATTCCATAAAAAATTAAAAAAATATGGATGTCTTTCCCACCGCTTGTACTACCTCCATGCACCACCACCTCCGGCTGGTGAAAAAAATGTCATTTTTCCTAAAACTGCCATTTTTTCTTCTGAAAATGCCAAAAAATGGCATATTTCTCTTTGAGAATCCCAACATTTTCATTGTTTTCTGTCATAAATATGGCATTCGAAATAAATTTGGTATTTTTTTCTCGGTGACTGGAGGTGGTGGTACTGAGGCGGCAGAGGCGGCGGTGATTTTTTTTTGAGTTTTTAATTTTAACTTTTTTTTTGAAAAAAAAATAAATTATTATTATCAAAATATTAATTTATTAATTTTAGGGCTTATTTGACAGTTTTTATTAATTTTTTGATATTTTTACGAATTTTTATTGTTTTTTATTTTTTTATAATGAATTAAAACATTTCAATAGCTATAAGGGTATATTTATTCAAGACACACATAATTAGTCCTATGAAAACATAGTTTATTTTTTGGTCCTGTTTGTGCAAAGTGAGTGATTTTTAATCGTATTTTGATAATTAACTCTAAGTCTCTGACATATACTAAACGAGTTATTATAGGCAATACGGTCATACTCATATATGTCTCCGCTACGGGTTCGCCACTTATTTTCAGCGAGCTCGCCAATGATAGAAAATGAGTGATCATAATGGAGTCATTAACTCATTAAGTAGACTTTGAGAGCCAAACATCCAATTCAAAGAGAAATGAGAAAAGGTGTGACAAAGGAAATGAAGGTGGTGTTCCCTGGCGATGGAACATGTCTTTTAGGCTTCAGGCAATGTGATACCTAGATACTGCAACATATAAAACGAGTAGGAAACAAAAAGTGTGGCTTAGGTAGTCAACAAAGATGTGAGTTTTTAAAGTGATCACACATTCACACGGTAATCAGTAGAGAAAAACGGTCGGTTAAAAGTTAAAACATGTTGCCACTTAAAGATTAGAAAAATTCTAAAGGTACACTTTTTTGTGTACACACTTTTTACACGTTTGTGTAAGGTTTTTTTTTCTCTATACAGACAAAACGTATTTTGTCAAATACGTTTTGTCTGTACAGACAAAAAAACCTTACACAGACATGTGTAAAAAGTGTGTACACAAAAAGTGTGTAACCCAAGCAAAGCTCTAAAGATTAACAGTCTATGCAAGTCTGATATCTCAATGATCTCATGCTTGACAGCTGTGCCACTTTCCTGCTGATGTGTCTCTGCCATGACTGACTCACACATGCCCTTGAGGTCTTTCATTTTTTCCTCAAACTTGCAAGCATCACTGAGCAGGTCATTCCATTCCAACCATTTAACCGTCCAATTGCATTCCACAATCTTATCCTGGCTGCATTCGTCTGAACCCTCCTTGCACAACGCCTCGCGTGGTGAATGTAATTCTCCAAAGCATTTTTAGCCTCAATGGCCTTCTTGCGTTCCTCCTCTTGAGCCCTGAAATCCTCTGCCTCCTTCACCATCCTATCAATCTCCTCCTTTGACTGGTTATTGTTATTTGGTTACTGTTGTTACTGCCCTTTAGTTCTGCAGTCACAGTTAATATGGCATTGGCATCGATCTCGAAAGTGACAGTAAACTTCGCAACACCTGCAGGTGCTGGGGGAATGCCATGAATGAAAAAATCACCAAGGAAGTTGTTGTCTATTGCTATAGGCATCTCTCCCTCATACACCTCGAAGCTACAACCAGTTACGTAGTCCAGAGGAGTGGAGTAGTTGTACCTTGTCATCTTTGTAGGGATGGTCGTATTCCTTGGAATCACAACAGACATGTCACCAGAATAACCCCTAATACCAAGAGATAAAGGACAAACATCCACAAGCACAGTATCCTTATTCTTGCCCAAGCAAGCACCTGTCAGGGCTGCAGCGTGAAAAGCTGCACCATAGGCAACAGCCTCATCACGGCTTATATTTTTGCAAAGCTGCTTTCCATTAAAGAGGTCTTGCAACAATTCCTGAACTTTTGGGATTCTAGTAGACCCACCCACAAGTACAATATCATTGATGTCAACCTTGTCCATTTGGCATCCTTTAAACATTTCTCAACCGTCACAATACAATCTTCGAACAGATCTAAATTCATTTTCTCAAATCGTGCACGGGATATGGTCGAAGAGAAATCAGTATCATCAAACAAAGACTCAATGTTGATAAATGTTTCAGAAGCTGAAGAGAGCATTCTTTTGGCTCTTTCACAGGCTGTTCTAAGCCGTGCAAGAGCCCTTGGATTGTTACTGATGTCTTTATGGTGCTTCCTCTCAAACTCTGCTGCAAAGTGGCTCACCATTCTGTTGTTGAAATCAACTCCGCCAAGGTGAGTGTCCCCATTAACGGCTTTAACTTCAATTACATCCTTCACCATTGTGACAATAGAGATATCGAAAGTCCCCCCTCCAAGATAAAAAACGAGTATATTCTTTAAATCGAAATCAACATTTCCAGTTCCTTTATTGTGTAGACCATATGCAAATGCAGCAGCAGTGGGCTCATTAATAATACACAACACATTAAGTCCAGCAATAAGACCTGCATCTTTTGTTGATTGACGTTGGATATCATTGAAGTAAGCAGGAACCGTGATGACGGCATTCTTGACCTGTCTGCCTAGGTAAGCCTCTGCAATAGTCTTCATCTTTTGGAGGATCATTGAAGATATCTCCTCGCCCTTGTAAGTGACCACTATCATGGGCTTCTTTCCAACCCCACCATCAGGGGACAACAGTCAATTTAAAAGGCCAGTGTTTCATGTCGTTTTGCACCATTGCATCAAAAAAAGTTCTACCAATTAGCCTCTTCACCTCTGTCATGCATACACAGAAAAAAATAGATGTTCAGTGATCCACCAAGATATATTCTTACATCCAAAACCTGTTTCACTCTGAAATTTGACAGTATTTTGTACATCAATAATAACTAATTGGTAACTTCTGCAAAATAGGGACTTAAGACATTGAGCATTCTTTGCTGATTATGGTGACATTGTTCTATAAAGTTGTAGAATCAGTCATACAGGCTCATTTATCAAAGACAGGGGTGAGGTTTAATGGGTAAGCATCTATTTTGCATTGGTAAATTTAAGGCAGGCTAACAAGCTAATTTTCAAACATTTAGAATTTAAAGAGCATAAAGCCTGTATAAACTTTATCTAGTCATTGCTTGAAAATTTTCCTGTATGAAAAAGATAATTGCTATTATGCATGTCACATATTTATTGTATCATGCGCCATACAAATATTTGTATGCTATTCGTGCAGTGCCCAGTTCCCACACATGCTAGTAAAGTTTATATCATTTGTGACTCATTGTTCATTAATGTAACCTCTAACAAATCAGTATTCAAAAACTAACGTAATACTTGAATGGAAGAAACAAGATAAAGTGTTCTTTAAAAGTAACCTCTAGCCTATATGTCTTTGAGCATATTATTGTGCACCTTAATAGGTATCCGTTTGGTTTGTTTTTTAATAGCAACGAGACATATTAGATCAAGAAAGAATACCTGCAGCTAGAGAATTTATTACGGAGTACTCCATATTACTCCCTCCGGTCCTAAATAAACTTCACACTTTGACTTCACACAAATTAAGGAAATAAATTTTATTTTACTGTAGAGTACACTGTTGTGACACTGTTAGGCACTGTTTTGCACTGTTTTGATGTAGATAATTGCCAAATAAGGAAGGGAGAAGAAGTGTGAAGTTTATTTTGGACCTACCAAAAATGGAAAGTGTGAAGTTTATTTAGGATCGGAAGGAGTATATTGTATAAAGAATATACTCCCTCTGTACCGAAATGAAGTTTACGATTTGATCTATACATATGTCAAATCAAGTAAAAAGTAATAAAAAAAGTAAGAGCATCCGAGACTTTGGGCTTAAAAGTGGTTTCCCTTAATACAAATGGAAACTCTTTTCTGGGACATCCAATAAAAGAAAGCGTTCTTCTTGAGATGAAAGTAGTATTTATTTCATATGCATGTATATATGCGTCATTCGAAAATTATGGACTTATGGTCATTTACTGGTACAACTGTTCAAGTTTCTTCATTTTAGACTCTATCTTCTGACTAGTAAGATACTAAGATACTTCATAATCCGTATATTGTTAGTTTGCTAACGAGATACTCCTAATACTTATGCTTTGGCAGTATAGGTTTACAGAAAAAAAACCAACTGAAAGTTTATTGTCATTATTATAGAACAAACAGAGAGAAACCAACCGAAGATGGTATTGGGGGGATTCATTGCGGCCTGGTTCTGGGCAGATTCTCCGATAAGGCGCTCGGCATCAGTAAACGCAACCCATGACGGCGTCGTACGGTTGCCTAAATCGTTGGAGATGATCTCAACGCGGCCATGTTGGGGCTGCCACACTCCGACGCAAGAGTATGTGGTCCCCAGATCGATCCCAATCGCCGGACTTTCTTCTTCTTCGGCAGTTGCTCTGCTTCCGTTCCCTTCCGTTTCTCTTCGAGTTCTCTTCATTCTGTGTTTACTTGAAAGTTGTAATCTTGAGCTGACGAGGGAGAGCTAAGCCTGCCTACTTAAGTTTCCCGCCCAAGTGTGTTCGGGAAAAAGTCAGTCTTTTGTGGACGTTGGAAGCTTGGAGCTTTCAATGGCATTGGGATTGGCGGCTACTGTATGAATGATATGATTAATTTCACGGTTCCCATAGCTCAGTACGTCCTTTCCACAGTTCAACTGTTCAAGATAAGCTGCCGATCTTGGATACGATCATACGAGTTCAGTTTTGTTCGCCCGTATTCAACCCGGAAAGTTGCTTGTAAGTTAATATACTCCCTCCGTTCTTGTAGAATCTTCAGGTTTGCTTAGAACAAATGACTTGCATACATTTTGAGTTCTAGGAAGAATGAATGATATTCACTCAAATATAAAAAGTGTGACCGGTGAAGAGTAGTTAGGACATTAAAAGTAAAAGGAGTTAGTCTAAAAAAACGTAAAAGAATAAATAAGACGTCTTAAAAATGAAAGTGTAAATATTTAAATGGGACAGATAAAATAATTTGTTGAAAATTTTATTTACTAAAATTGTTTTATTATTGGTATAGATTTGTTAAATTCATGATCAGTCAAATATCATACATTATGTGAAATATCATACATATGTAAAATATACTAACTTCGTCCTTTAAAACTTTGTCAAAGTTGACCGGCACGGAGAATAATAAAGTAAAAACTGTGTGGTTGAGGTTTGTGCAGAGGAGAGAGAAATAAGAGAAACCACAAAATAATTGATTAAAAGGGGAAGTGATAAAGTCTTTTGGGACGTCCTAAAAAGGAAAGATGACAAAGTTTTAAGGGACGAAGGGAGTAGTTTATTAGTAAAATAAAGAAAAAATTATATGAAAAATACCTATTATAATTATCTATAAAAATTATTATCAATTCTGCAAGAAAAATAAATTCAAACTTAAACATATTGATTATTGATTATTAGAGAGTAGCCACACAAAAATAATACATATGTGTTTGACAAAATAATTTAACTGATAAGACTATTAGTATGATTAGGATTGCGGGAGAACTTTATTTCAAGATAATTAATGGGATCAAGTATAAGTTTTATTTAAGGAGTGCAATTATGTTCACCTCATTTAAGTAGGGTGAACACCCTCCACGTGTCCCTAGCTTCCATGTGGTATCACTTTGTATTTTTTCATTTAAATTGTTATAAATTTTCTATTATGACTCAATGATTATAAAAAAATACTCCGTATTAGATTCAATATTTTTTTATGATCTTTCAATGGTATCAATATTATACTCGGTATGTAAAAAAATAGAAAAATAAAACTTTTTTTTTATCTAAATATCTATTTATCTAGATTCTTTTAAATTTCGCCCATATGCAATATTGGTACTATATATAAGATCGTAAAAACTAAAAAATTGATATTTTTAAATTGAATTTAAAATGAAAAAGTTAAAACAATTACTCTCTCCGTCCCAATTTGATAGTCTCATTTCTTTTGGCACAAGTTTTAATATAGTGGTTGAAAAGGTAAAAGTTGTGGTTGAGATTTGAGTATAATAAAGTAAAATGATATGGATCACATCTTTCTTTCCAAAAAGGGAAACAGGACCATCATTTTGGGACATCCCAAAAAAGGAAATACAAGACTATCATTTTGGGATGGAGAGAGTATTAAATACTATCTATGTCCCCCTACTATTGGGACAAAAGAGTAGTGTAGTTTGTAAGAAAAGGAGATTTATGTGGTTGATAATGAGTTGATAAAGTGAAAATAAAGTAAGAATGCATTAGAGCCACAAAAATATTACAAATGATGGTATGAGACAAATTTAGTAGGACGGACAAAAAGGAAAATGGGACAATTATAGTGGGACGGATGGATTAATGAAGAGTCGGCCTGGTCCCACATGGCAAGCAATTAGGCACAAATTATATTGTACAGGCTGTTGTACCATGCGCATAGTACACCCAAACATTTTGTTGCAGTTCCGCTTCATTCATCACCGTTACAGACTGATGACTCGCCGCTCATACCCAGGTTAGTCACTCGCCGCTCGCACCCCCAGACGGACGGCTCCCCACTCCATGTACAGCTCGTTCTTTGCACCCAGACGGTCAGACGCTCGTCTGGCACAAAATCTTCAGCGCGCGGCTCGATGGATCCTCCTAGCCAACGAAACTCACGCAACCATGGCAAGTCAGATTGAAGTTCTTCATGGTCAAATTGAAAATTTGGGCAGAGTCCCAAATTCCAATGCTCAATAGTGGAGAACACAATACTAAATCAAGATGATTTGATGATCAATGTAGAGTTCACGTGCTCAATGAAAAGGTTTGATAACATAGTCCTAATTTTCAATAGTAGAAAACACGATACTCAATGAATATGTTTTGATGCTCAATGCAAATACTATTGTTTAATTAAGATGTTTGATCATATAGTCTCAATGCTCAATAGTAGAAAACACGATACTTAGTGACGAAGACTTGATGGTGAATATGTTTTGAAAATTTTATGTTCAATATTTGCATAGTACAAATGCTCAATAGGCGAGACTTGATACTCAATGGAAATATCTTTATCCTCAACTAATAGAGCTTATGATTTTCATACAAATGCATATTCTAGAAGTATAATATTAAATTAAATTCACGTAATGAGATTCATACGAGATTATTATAGATACAATTTAACAAATTTTTACAAAATAAAAACCAAGAGAAAGAAAGTGAATTAGAAGATATGAAATGGAGCTTATGATGCTCAATATTAGACTTCTAATTCTCAACAAGAATGCACCTGATGTTATATACAAGTACATTAATGCTCAATTAATAGAAAGCATGTTTTAACCAAATTACAAAAATGTCATCAACTGTACACTTTACACGATACAACTGGTGGTACGGTATATGAACTTGCAACTAGGGTCAGGGGAAGATTTGAATCAGAATTGTTTCTTGTACATAAGTTGTACACAACTTGTACAGAAATGTTGGTCACAGAAGATTGGTATGTTGGCACACGTGAGCTGCATGTGAGCACAATCAAGATTTGTTTGTGCACAAACAAGAGTTGTCTATGTCCATAGACATTATTTTCATGTCAAAAGTATACTGACAGTCGTCTGACACTGAATTGGCATGCAAATAAATCTATGTGTGTACAGTGCCTGTGTGCACAGACAATAACCACAATTATTTTAGAATCATACTTGGGGTACACACTTTGTGTACACACTCTTACACACTCATGTCTGTGAGCCGTTTTTTATGTTTGTCCCAGACAAAACGTATTTGTCAAATACGTTTTGTCTGGGACAAACATAAAAAAGCCTTCACATACATCAGTGTGTAAGAGTGTGTACCAATATTGTGTACCAATATATTTTTTCATTATTTTTTGTGACCAAAATGTGGATTTTTCGGATAAATGTTACCGCACAGACAATAGTTGTGAGACTTACAGACAATAGTTGTTTCTGTTATCATCTTTAATTGTCTCTGTTCACAAGGTTTTATTACACAACAATAATTATGTTACTCACAAACAATGATTATCTTTTTTATCTAATTTTGTTGTCTGTGTGAACAATTTTAATTGTCTGGGTGAAAAAACATTTAATTATCTATGTACGTGCAAATGAATGATTTAGTATGTGTGCTCAATTTACACGTAATTTGAAAAAAAAATGAAAAGAAAATAAAAATAGATGGAAATAGATAAATAATTTGATTTTGAGCTCGTTTGGTGAACCTGTTTTTCGGCTTTCCAACCAACTTTTTCTCTAAACACGTAACTTTTGATTTCACGCGCTGAATAATGTAATAATAAGAAAAAGTAAGATTGAAGTTATTTTTCTGGTTGTATTGGCTAAAATTACTATACATGATATTTTTTCATATAATATTCTCTTTATTTTATTATTAAAATTTTAAATATACTCCGTAATTTTTAAAATCAGCAGAATCATTCATTCTAGCCACTTCTGTTAAACCTTCAAATTTCAGCAGAATCAACCAATACAACTAATTTAAGTATTACCAAACGAGCTCTTTGTGCAACTAATGGAAAAAATGGGATCTTAAAAAGTAGGGACGAAGAGGATGGAGGAGGGAAGGAAGAGGAGGATGAAGAAGAGAAGAAGATGATCCAATCTTCTTTTGGATATCCGAATGGGTTGTGTGAAGAAGGAAAAGGGGAGGGAAGATAGAAGGGAGAAGAGGAAAAATGGAAGTTTAATCTGAATAATGATAACTCTATTTGAATGAAATAACAATGTTTAAATTATGGATGTTTAATCATCTATGATGAGGTATATCTTAGCATTATGATTCTCTATATCAATTTAATGTTTGAATTTAATAGCATGTTAAGGATAATCAAACGTACGTGATTATGTATCCTAATCATTACAACAATTAAAAATTTAAAACTTATAAGTAAATATAAAAATATCAATTTTAAATGATTTGACTTAACAGCAAATTTTATTTCAAATCAATTTCAATTTATAATAATGTACTAGCACAGCACCCGTGCATATGCACAGGAAAAAACAGTTGATCCTTATATATTTTTGCTCATGATCTAATTAAATACGTAGTATAAAAATATTTTTTTACAAATTTATAGCATTTCAAACATGGAGTACAATAAGTTAATATCAAAAAGTATAAATCCATACAACAAATATTCAAAGTAAAAGAAAATTAAAGTAAAAAAAAATCAACACTATCCATTAGTATAATTAGTATTGTTGGCAACAAATAATAAAATATTGAACTTAATTGTTAGAGTTTTGAAAAACTACTTTAAAGCGAACTTTAAGTGGTAACGTCTAATGCTTTTCTCTTCTTATAATGTATTAAAATTATCAATCCATATTTTGACTCTCGATAACGCCATATATATAAAGCATTGCATGACTAAAATATCTAAAGTTTCTTCTTTTTCTAGTGATAGAGCTAAAAATTTATTGATTATCGTCACATATGTGACAATTAGAGAAAAATACTTTCTCATAAGTTTAAAGGGTCTTGAGATAGGAAATATGAGAGAGCAAATTCTCCCGATCAGTTATTATTGCGTTATCTTATACCTAAAAAAACTACATAGGAGAGAAAAATTATCTTGCTTATCCTATCGTATACGACAATTTTTAACTGCGACTTATGTTTTGACCACAGCTGTTGTGCCCACACACATAAAATTGTCGCAAAATTGTCATAAATAATATTCACCATAGTTTCTTTAGTCTTTTACGACTGATTACGACCGTGGTAAAAATGATACTCCCTCCGTCCCTAAAAATACTTCCAACTTTCCCTTTTCGTTCGTCCCA